AAAGTTAGTAAGTATATACTAACGAGCCCGAAATCACGAGATAGGTGCCTAATATAGTATAGGGCCACCCTGTAGTTTGACGAACTGGTATTGATTCCACAAGTGGTTGGAAGACCTCTTGATAGATACTCAAACACACTGCTTTAATACCTGTCTGTTACAGGCTAATATCGCATGTAAATAGACCTCCCTACCTCGTCCAAAACAGGTGGTGGGAACCTCGTCCAAAACAGGTGGAGGTGGTGGGAACACCATTCGTCTGAAGTCTTCAGAATGCTCCTCAAGCCAATTCTGGATAACTTGAACCTGATGACATGTTGCATTATACTGTTGGAATAACCTATCGTTGTTAAAATACATGGAGGCCATAAATGGGTAAAGATTTTCACATGCAAATTGACGGTCAACAGTCAATTACATGTTTAGGCGGACACAGAACTATTTCGATCTTTCTAAGATCATCTTCAGGGATAAATTACAAACTTATTGTAACTGCAATAAAACTGCATTCCGTTGTGATGGTGATAGCTCTGTTATAGCTATTTTAAATTCTTAAATTTATCCGTTGTAGTTTTGTTTGCAAAAGAAGCGTTTCAATATAAGGAAGCTGGCCGGAAATTGTTAGACATATAAAATGACATTAATGTTATATGTACTTTAATATGTTGTTGCTATATTCGCAATGAATTTTGAATTTTGTTGGGTGTTGATTGGTTCATTTTGATATGGAGGACCTCGAAAATTTGAAGTTTTTGTTTATTATTTTCATGGTATATTGATGTTGTTAACAAGTATTTTCCTGTATTGTGAAGGTGGACAGGAATGTTTTTAGATGTTATGCAATAGAACTTGTGTCTGACAAGTTAAGTGTAAAACATATTGATAATGTTTTGGCCATCAAGCCAACATATATATTTACATTTTTGTCAGAGACCTAACCCTAACCCTCCAACGAACATTTAAACTTATGTACAATGTTGTTTTTTTCAAAATACTATTTGACGGAGAAATGTTATTGCGTATGATTAAGATAGTTGTGTTAAATTTAATATAATATATAATTATTTTTTTGACTGGTATCAGTGAGAAATATGTCAGTATTTATGAGATATTTTAACACTTTTTCATATTGTTTATAGAATGCATTTGATTAATGTGTAGTTGGTTGATATGTTTAGAGTTATTTGAGAAAGTATTATGTTCTTTGTGATTTATGTTAATAGTTTTAATGGCACGTCTAATTTGGTCATCAACGATGTAATTAAGATAAAGTCATTATTAATGAGAGTTTATTTAATGTTTTTTTCAATTCAGTGTAGAATTTTTTTCGTGGGGGAATTTTGCACAGTCTATCATATTTTGTATAATAGTTTTTTTTCTAATAGTCAGAGTATTTTTTATAGTTTAAAGCGTAAGGGTTTGAAATAAATTTAATATTCATTTTCTGGTTCCATTAGGTTGTTCGTAAAATAATGTCCGATTTAGAATAAAAGTGTGCTAATATACTGTTATAATTGCTGAATAAAGATATATTATTCATTGCTAACGATTAAAATGACCTCTTTGTTAATTTTATATCTATTTCTTTCAGAATTTAATGTAAAACATTATATACCCCTCATCTTGAACAAGTTTTACTTTTTGCATGATTTCAAACTTGGCCCTAATCCTTCTCAAACTGCTGTCAACATTGATAGATCCTGTGGTGAAGGGGTCCACTTGAGATCAGGATAGTCTGACACAGAAATTCTGAAATTCTTCAGTGAGGATACGATTCTAAGATCAAAAAGTGGTAGAGGTGGTAGAAGTGGTAGAGATGGTAGAAGTGGTTGAGGTGGTAGAAGTGGTTGAGGTGGTTGAAGTGGTTGAGGTGGTTGAGGTGGTTGAGGTGGTAGAAGTGGTTGAGGTGGTAGAAGTGGTTGAGGTGGTTGAGGTGGTAGAAGTGGTTGAGGTGGTAGAAGTGGTAGAGGTGGTTGAGGTGGTTGAGGTGGTTGAGGTGGTAGAAGTGGTTGAGGTGGTAGATGTGGTTGAGAATGTCTAGCAATTGACAAACGGCATCTGAAAAAACCAGTCGAACAAAATCCACGTCAAAGTGCCAGAAAAATGTTTCAGATAAAGTATATCAGCATTTCAAAAGAATATTGACAACTTGAAGAAAGTCAATCATACGGATTCCACAGAAATCATTGGAAGTCAGAGTTCGACGTTTTGAAGTGTGTTCGATGCTGCATCTGCGAAAAACGAATGATGCATTTCTTCATCAAATTTTATCTTGTCATAAGAAATGGATCCTTTATGACAATCTTAAACGATCGGTCCAATGGCTTGATCATGACGAAGAAACCAAACACATTCCAAAACCAGCAGAAGATTATGGTGACTGCCTGGTGATAAGTTACTGACATCTTTCATGAATTTTACTACCAGCATTTGGATGAAACGTGCAAATTCAAAGGAGGAAGTCCAATTCTGTATCATGATTATTCTCAGTCACATGTTGTCAAGGTGGCAGTGCAGAAGCTCAGCAATTTTGTATACGACTCTGCTACATCCACCATTTCTTCCTATTATCTTGTCCACTTTTCTAGCATTATTACTAATTTTTAAAGCCAAAAGACATTCAAAAAGAAACTTTAGAGTTTTATCGTAAAGGCATAAATAAACTCGATGGCAGAAATTTAAATGTTTAGGGTTTCTATTTTAACTAATTTAAACACTGCTTATATATATTAATTCAGGAACAAGCATTGATTCTAAAATCAGACATTATTTTCGGAACAACCTAACAAAACTGATTGTTTTTTACAAGTTCTTGAATATTCTATTTAGAAATTTCCACATTCTACAATTTTTAAAGCTCTCTATCTGAAAATGAAGTGGCTAAAACAAATTTAGATCAATAATATAAAATGTATTCCAAGACCTTTCAGTAATCGATTGTTTAATACAAAGCAGTTAATCATCGCATTTGTTTTCCTCTCTCACAGCAAAAGCACAAATTCGAAATCGTTTAACAATGTCATGGAAGCACTAATCGCCGGATGCATTTTAATAGCAGACAATCTTACCGACAGCTTCTGCTGGCTAATTACCTATTTTTCATCACCCAACAAAGCGTTTACCCGCCTGGCCGGTTCCCCAAGTCTGATGCCAATATTTTCACTTGCTCATCTCTGACATTTTTTTCTTACAAATACACGCTGTTTTCGTAATCTTATCTGCTAAAAAGCACATTCTCACGGGAGATTGTGCCATGTGAATATATGTTGGCAAACAAATTTCATGAAGTAACCCCCTAACGCGAAAACAGATATACAGAAAGTCACTGCGGTGATTGTAATGACTTTTATATATCCTTTTCCTATTTCCACATTTTTTTCTTTTCTACGCTATTCCTTTCTCTTAATTATTTCTTTCTGTTAAAGTTGAAAATAAAAGAAAGAAAGAAAGAAAGAAAGAATGAATGAATGAATGTGCTGAAAGAAAAATTGACAAAAAACGAATAAAATTAAAAGTAAAAACATCTCGACTCTGATGCTTTTTGCTACTGTTCCAACCTTAACCTAAATGTTCCACAGTTTTCTATGATCCCAGGCGAAGTCCTGGTATTTTTCTAATTTTTTGTTTGCTTGTCCTCACCCAAATTCTTATTCATCTGATTCTTAAAGTTGTTGTTGTTGTTATTATTATTATTATTATTATTATTATTATTATTATTATTATTATTCAATCATTCATTCATTCATTCATCGAATAATAATAATCGGCGGATTAAATTGAAGATTAAGCGGCAGCACGTCTCTTCAAGAGTCCATTATTATTATCACTATTATTGGTAGTAGTAGGAGTAGTAGTAGCAGTAGTATTAATAGTAGTAGTAGCAGTAGTATATTTCGATCTCTGCTATGGTCACACTACCTACCAAGTCTATCGGAAGACCTAAGGCAGGTAGTGGTGTATTGTTATGACTACATTTTAGGATTTGTTTTTCTAACTCCCATAACATCACTAGCGTTACATGGACAAAGTACTTCTTAGTGCGTTGACTGTACTTATCAAGACAATTTTTTGTCCGGCCTATTTCCTTCAATCTTCCCTTCTGTAAAGATGAGATAATCCAATATAATTGTGATGTCTTCTATTTCTGTAACCGGTAAATCTTTCCGTTTCAACCTTTAATCTAGATGCTCGTAACCATCGATGACTGTTAACTTTATCAACATCGGTTTGATTAGCACACATACTGGTTATTGGCCATGCAGAGTTTTGCTTTGCCAGCGTTGTTTCATCAATCTTTATCTATGGCTCTTTTTCAGTAGATTGGCAGCAACAGTTGGTTCTTAGGTTCTGTTTTGGTTTTCTACAGAATCTGCTAAATGTAATTTTTTTTTGTATTTACAACCTTCTTTCATTATTATTATTATTATTATTATTATTATTATTTCTGACGAGGATTATGGTTCAGAAACAAAAAACCATAAATCGTGACATTTTAAGAGTGAGGAAACGATAAAAGACTCATCACAATAATCTTTTCTTTCATCTAAGAAAACACCTGAAAAGATTCAAATGTAAAAGAGTTTTATGTCAAAATATCAAAAAAGAAAACAACGTTGATAGCTAAGCTTATAAATATGAATATCTTTGCATATCTACCGCACCAGAAATACAGGTAAAACGACATCAATTTCGTAAACAAGTGACAATATCTTTTAGGTAACCTCGAATTGCACAGAGAGTAGCACTAGGGGAAAAATTCATTGATCAAATCAGCTTGTTGTCGATGGATTCCCTGAGAAATGATAGTTTTATACCGGCAAGTAGGAACTTATCAATAAATTTCGTTTTTCTATGAAAAAATATAATTATAAGTTGAAGTAATGTTAAGTTCTTTTTAACTTCAGTTGCCGAATTGATATCTGTAGACGTGAATTCAGTGATGACTACGAGACAGTTTCTATTGAGATACATTTAGAACAATTCTTAAATGCCTACGGTCAAAATCACACTGAAAACACCGGTTCTCGTTCGATCACCGAAGTTAAGCAGCGTCGAACCCGGTTAGTTATTAGATGAAGGACCGCTTGGGACCACCAGGTACTTTAAGCAACTTCCTATAATTCGAAATACGTTTTGGTTTAAACAAAGCATTGGTAAGGTAAGTGGACAAGAGAAGAACTGAGGAATTTGGAAAGCAAAACATGAAATTCAATGGAAATTTATAATTCAAACGGATCATCGAATCCAAATAGAGAAGAGCAACTGTAGACATTGTAGACATTAAAGAGAACAACACTTTTTGAATTGTGAACAACGTTGTTCTAGAAGACGACAAAATAAAATTGAAAAAGAAAAAGCTGGACAAATATCTATATAGATAAGAGAACTGACAAATATGGGACATTAAGGTAACAGTTATTCTCATTGTTGTTGGAGCACTTGTGATGGTCTGAAAAAGAATTGTCCTGGGTATAACGATAAACGGCATCCGCGTCCTGAGTAAGACGATAAACTACGTCCAACAGCAAGACGGTTTAGAGGAGCATGGAACCGCCTCTCTTAATTGCTTGTGTTCCCAGGTCCACCAGGGGTGGTAGCACCTGTTCACCTGTTATGGTCCCAGCTATTGGCAAATAGTTAACACCAGACTCGGATCAAAACACTATGAAAGTGTAAAAAATAGGTCTTAATACCAGAAATACTTTGTAAAAAAAGCAATAAATTTTTGAAGGAAAAAATTATTACCAGCAAAACATTACTAACAATACATTTTTTGGAAAAAAATATTACCACCAGTAAAAAATGTCGGCATTAAATAACCTATTGAGGCTGATAAAACAAACCAAACCTGGAAAAGAATTAGAAATCATATGACTCACAAAGACCATGCAAACGACATTACTGAAAATAGCTAGAATACTAAAGAGAAGATAGTATCACTTAATATCCAGTTTCTTCTGACGTGAAACATACATTTAATAAACCAATAATAGACACCATGCTATAATACCAAGATATCTTCTGGATACATTATTTACATTATTCGGACTATTGTCCTCATCTTTGTCGTCATATTTATTACAATGTTTCGGCCGTTGTACGCTCCGGCCTTCTTCAGGTGGTTGGAATGTCGAACTTAACCCTTTATTTCGCTCACTGGGGTAGACTGTTCTAGTTCTGTGGTCCATATAACATTAGGACAACCTTCAAAAGCTTGACGACACTCCGCAGATATCTCTCACGAGTAACCCCCCCCCCACATACACACACACACACACACACCCTAGAGGAGAACATGACTAAAAACTGTGTACGCTATCCCGTGCAGCTGCGGAAAGAAATATAAAAATATGAAGGTTGTCATCTTAAGGTGGGGATTTTTTAAGGTCATTACCTTAGATTTGTCAATACAAACCACTTGTTTGTAGCAATAAAAATAAAATTATCTGAAACATTCTAATCCAAACTCCAAAACCAGATCTTGTCATTCTGCGTAAGTAAAAAGAATTCTGCAGAGAATTCCGCTGTTCCTGCAGATGAATGTTTAAAACTGAAATCAAGTGAAATGTTCCCCAAACAGTAAGCTAAAAAACAAGAAAATTCGTGAAGTCTTAATTTAGCATAAATTGTTTTTATTGTCGACCCTTAAAATTTTCTTAATGATATTTGTTTCATCTGAAAGCTTTTTATACTGCTGAATAATGTTGCAATTATTGTTGACGCCTCTGTAACATTCTAACACAATTTTCCAACGAAATTAGAACAACTTAGAATCTCGAGTAATATCAATGCTTTCAGAACAATAACATAAAAGCTAAAATACTGAATGTAATATTTGGGTAATGACGGAAATCGTTATCGTTTGAACTTCATTGAAATCCGTTAGTTTTCCTACTGTAAAAACTCATTACAAACAATAAATACTAATATTTTAAAACTTTAATGTCCTTGATTTAATGTCAACGTAGAAGCGGATCATTCGGAGATACTTATTTGTAACAACAGAATGATAACTATGGCAAGTAGCTTTGTATTTGACAAATGTTGTAAAGCTAGAAAAAAATAGTAACAGCGGAATGGCTACAATGTAAAGTCACAACATTAACCCTTGAAAAAGTTTATTTTTAAAATTTTTGTTAATAAAATTGATTTCACTCAAGCCTTATAAGCCGATATGTCGTTTTTGCATCTTCTTGTGTGGCAAAAATGTGAGCACGCTGGTATTTGCCATAATTATTCAAAACCTAATTTACAACGGCACTAAAATCTAATAATGAGAAGTGTCAAATGAAGTTATCTGTGACGAGTCAAGAGTTTTCATACAAGCAACGGGAATCTAACAACGGAATAATAAAAAAACAAAAATAATCATTTATTTTATTCTCTTACTTAAGCTATCTTCTCAGGGTCTTTTTTTAATAATTGTGTTCTCGGCTGAATGAAAAACAGTTTACATATTATATATATATATATATATATATATATATATATATATATATATATATATATATATATATATATAATTATCGACAAGCAAAACTACTGACATTGACACAACAAACGTTCTTGCAATCATTATATATGATTGGATCGAATTAATTTCTACATCGTTATTTTTATTTTCTGTTTTTTTTTTTTTTATCTGCTTCGTCCAACTACTTTTTCGCCACGGTTTCCTTGTCACACGAAGTTAAGAATGACGTTCCACCGGCCCAAACATTTATATCGGATTCTAAATCTTTGGCCCTAAGAAAGCTACCAGTCCAGATAAAATGCTAGTGGTTGTCCTTAAGAAGGTTAGTCCTGAGTTATCTCTGATCTTGAAAAAATTGTTTAACCACTGCCTGAAGAAGAAATCGTTCCCAAGTCTTTGGAAGGAGTCAAGTACACACTCTGTTTTCAAGCAATACCGTCCTATCAAGTTCCTATTTATTGTATTTCATATTCCTTAGTGTAATTAGCAAGCACTTTGAGGCTATGATCAACAAAAAGGTTGATGTTCACCACAACAGGGACAACCTTCTGAGCAGCAAACTATTTGGATTTCATTCTGCTAGATCCATATCATTGCTGATATGCCGTCATGGTGCACATAATCAGTGAGGCATTAGACAATATATTGTCTAATCACGAGATCGATTGCATTAGATATATCGAAAGCCTTTAACAACGTGTGATATAAAAACTTGCTATACATAGGTGCAATGCAAGAGGTTTCTTAATTATCAAGCCTACACTGCTCCAAGAAGTACCTGGCACCACTTGTTAGACTTTATCTTTATAAGAGCCAAATTGAAATCGAGTACAGTTTCCATATCGACGCTGAAGCTGCCCAGTCTTCACTTTCAAATCTTGATAGAGTTTAAAAGCGCCTAATCGGCCTTGTGGGTGATGAATTATTTTTAATCGTACAACACCTTTCCGACAGATGAAACGTTGCAGGCCTCTCGCTACTCTATCCGTATTTCTATTGAAAATGTTTCCGACAAGCTACATTACTTAGTTCCACCAACTCTGATCCTCACAGCTAAGACACCTCCCCCCATCCACGCTACTGAGACGAACTATCTTCATTCCTTTCCTTTAGGAAAGTGGAAGTTCAACTCGAACAGCTTCTTCACAGGAAACGCTATTTTGTAGAACTTATTTCTAAGAGAACGCTTTCTCTTCTTCTTCTTCTTCTTCTTCTTCTTCTTCTTATTATTATTATTATTATTATTATTATTAACACACCCTTAACATTAGTGACGGCAAGTCCACCCAAAACTCCAATACTAATAAAAATAATAAAATAATTTGGGTAATACTTTTTCGGAATGCTTTCAATTCTCAATTTTTACACTCTTCTAATCGGGATTATTCAAAGTGCACCAATAATGATGAGTGTAAATACAAATACTTTATCCATCTTTTCGCTTTTTTAAAAAATTTTACTGAACATTGTGTAGTAACATTGAGATCCTCTGTCTGAAAAGTATTCTTCCTAAAAGTGGTCTTCCAGCCTAAAATTGAATTTCAAGTTTTCAGTTTTCATTCTCCTCAGCACTTTCTGATTTCGTTTGCACAATTCCCAGTGTATTCGCGTCCTTACCCAATCATGCTTACTCTTTCTAAACTAATTTCTTACGCTCATTTATTACATAATTGGTAGTTTCATCTGTCCCCGCCTCTCTTTCTCTCCCCCCCCCCCCAGGTGTTGCGTTTATTTTAAAGTCAACATAATCTATTTTCATAAATCCCTACTCGGCTGCTATTAATAAGTATTCGGTTTCTCTTTTCGAGTATATCCTATGTACAACCCTCGGCTTGACTGCAGTTCCTTGCGATTTTTTCTTACAATTTCCCTAGTTTCATTCTTCTAATCCCTAGCTTTTCGTGTTTCAATTTTCTGATCGAACGATTTTGTCAAGGTTTTACTATCAAAATAAATTTATTATAATTATTGTTATTGTTGTGATGCTTAATCTTGTAATTGTTAATAATAATAATAATAATAATAATAATAATAATAATAATAATATCAAGGTAGGAAGCCAAATAAAAGGTTTTATTTATTGTATTTTATATGACGTTTCTTTTTTCTCTTCATCTTCTTCTTCTTTTCTTCTTCTGCTACTACTACTACTATTACATCTACTTCATTTTTTATTCCACCTCTTCCTCTTTTTCCACATTTTCCTTTTTTTTTTTTTTCACTCCTACTTTTTCTTTTTCTTCTTCTCCTTCGATTTCTTCTAATACTTGTACTTTTTCTTCTTCTAATTCCACTTCAACTCTTTCTTTTTTGTTTTGGTAAAATATTGTAGTTTCATTGCGAAAGTGTGCAGATAGAAATCAATAAGGCGTGAAAGTCAAACCCAACTTTTCATGATTACCAAGCCAGCATTTCTGGAAGGCAAGGACAAACACGTATTTCTCTTAATTAACATGATGTGGCTGCTTTTAGTTTTACATATCTCTTGTAAAGCTTTACGCATGTCGGTGAGGGAAGCCAGTTTTATGTGCATCTTGCTTACCTTGCAAGGTCGAAGAAGACGAAGAAAGGTTGCAGGCCGAATATCGCATCTAAACTGCATGAAACATCACAACTGATTTAGCTTAA